GTGAAGGCTGCACAGAAATCTGTTGGAATCAGCCTCCCCACCATCACAGACATCTACACCTCCAGATGCAGGAAGAGGGCCACCTGCATCATGAAGGACCCCACTCACCCAGCACACACACTTTTTGCCCCACTCCCCTCAGGAAGGAGGTTAAGGAGCATTAAGTGTAGAACCACTAGACTGAGGAACAGCTTCTACCCTGAGGCTGTTAGACTCATGAATCTCTAACTAGAATAATCACTGTGAAAAACCATATCATGTTGCTGCTGATCTGTTTCATGTTGCTGCTGATCTGTTTCAATGTTGATGTGTTCATGCGTGCACATCTGCTCACAGACTCATGTTCATGTTTGTGGTGATGTTCAATGTTTTATGTTATGAGTGCTTAGTGTATATTTAGTTGATGTTTTTCTTAGTTCATATCTTAGATGTTATTACTGTTTTTCTTATACATTTTATTGTTGGATGTAACTGGGAAAAAAAAAAAATAATTTCGCTCCACCACATGTACCACATGAGGTGCGAATGACAATAAAGAAACTCTGACTCTGACTCTGACTCTATGACCAGGACAAAAACCGCACTGCTCCTCCTGAATCCGAGGTTCGACTAGCCGATGGACCCTACTCTCCAGAACCTCCGAATAGACCTAACTAGGGAGGCTTAAGAGTGTGATCCCCCACCACCCTGGTCTGCCAAACCAGAGGAACTGCCTCCGATGTCCATGCAATATAAGCCAACACAACCCTACAACATCCAGAGCCTTAGGGTGCATTCACACCAGCCCTGTTTAGTCCGCTTTAATCAAACTCTAGCTCTATCCCGATGCATGCTCAATAATCCAGGTAGAAAAATCTAAAAAAGTTAAATCTGGTCCTCTGGACATTCAAAAAAACAAACAAAAACAAAGCAAAACAACAAAAAAATGTAGAAACGTTTCGTCTCTCATCCGAGAGACTTCCTCAGTCTGAGGTGCTGTATTCAGCTCAGTCTCTTAAATAGCACCGTCTCAGAGTGGATCAACCAGTTTTGCTGCTGACAACCAAAACCAGCTGATCACATGCTCAAGAAGGACCATCAGCCTAACAATGGATCATTAGCACACTGATGGCTGTTTACTATTCACAGAGGGCTGAGTGATACTAGCAATCACAGCATTGTAAGAGGGGGACAATTGAACATGTAGGCCTCCACCCCTGTTTAACGATGGACCATTTCTTTTCATAAAGATGGCCTCCTTTACTCCTCTCTCAAACCATCGTTCCTCTCTATCCAGGATGTGCACATCTTCATCCCTAAAAGAGTGACCGCTGGCCTGGAGATGAGTGTAGACCACAGAGTCCTGGCCTGATGATGTTGATCTTCTGTGCTGGCCCATCCTTTTGGCCAGTGGCTGTTTTGTTTCCCCTATGTAAGACTGATCACAGCCCTCCTGACACTGAACAGCATACACAACATGCTGAAGACTGAGCTGATATTCAGACTGAGCTGAATACAGCACCTCAGACTGAGGAAGTCTCTCGGATG